TAATTTGAGCAATAATAAGACTAGTCTTTTGCAAAATGTAGCTTTCAGAGCAAGGATTTCATCTTGAAAACAATTTAAGACATTGTGTCATGTTAAGACTTCAGAAATTACAAACAGATTTACAACAAATGCAGCCAAATCATGAATGGACTGAATAAGAATCTTGTTCCCTTAGCTCAGAAATGTCAAACTCAAGACCAGCAGGCCAGAGCCTGCCCTCAAGGTGTTTAGATCTGGCCTACAGGGCCACCTTGGAGACGGCGAGGGGCCTGCCTCTGCCGTCTTAGCCCACCCAAGCCTGCAACCAAAGGAAAAACCTGATACCAGCAGGCCAGAAGGCAGCCCAGCCACCGTGCCCTTCCCGTTCTTTTTCTTCGGCCCCTGGGCCCAGATGCAATCGCTGCTCCTTGCCATAGCTGGGGCTGGACTTGCAATTACATCCACCCACTTCATCCTGCAAAGTGGGGCTCACCCGGCATCCTCATCTGCCGCCATGCTGGGAGCCCCGACTAAAGGCCGAGCGCTCCAGCCTCACCCTGCCATGGGAGGGCTGGCAGCTGAGGCTACCCTGTGTCTCTGTGCCGTTGGGGTCAGGAAGGCTCGAACAATACATAATAATTATGTATTATTAAATCTATATAAATCAAAATATAAATGTTCGTTTGTTCAAAATCGTAAATCTCCGAAAGTTCTTCACCGATTGCTTTGAAATTTTGACACAACATTGCATTCGAATACACGCGTGTTTTTATATACCTATATTATATAGATGTCACACCTGTGACAGGTAAAAACATGCTTTCTTGATAAACAGCGCCATCTGTTGGACGTAAACGCAACACACGCTATACTATCTTTTTGGGCACCACAATGGCAGGCGCGAGCCGGGTCTTTTCCCCTCAGTGCCGCCGCCAAGCCCACAAGCAAAATGGCGGGAAATGTCAACCGCCATGAAGCGTCCTCCCGACTAACGGAGTAGGCCGTACCTTTGGCAGGGACCCCGATGCCACCTGTGGTGCGGAGAGCTGCGAAGGTGAAGGCGGTTATACCGGCAAGCCGGAAACCCAGCACTTACACCTGCGGCAAACTGGGACGGAGCCAAAGTAGGCGTGACCTGAGCTACAGAGGGAAATTATTGGCACTCAGTCAAACAATATTGTATACCCACAAGACTGGGCCACAGCAATGCATGGCTGGGTACAGCTAGTACATAATAAAATAATGAGAACTAAAGGCTCAAAGGGAAAGCAGATTATAAAGAACGAGACCTTTTGGGATTTTCAATTCCCTTCCTGATAAGAGTTCCTTAAAGTTTGCTCTTCCTTCCTAACATCAATAAAGGTTGGTTATCCAGAAAATATGTGAAGAGCTGTAATTAGCTATTTAACTATGTTTTCTTTTTGGCTCTGTTTTTAATTTATATAATGTATGTTTAATTGGGGAAAGGGGCTTGGAGAGGTAGAAATGGCCAATATAGAGGTTGTGCCTCCAGATGCGTCTCCCCTACTGATCTCTGGAGAGGAGGAAGGGGTAATTATCCTTACCATTCATGATTGGAAATGGGGATTTCTTTTTGAGAAGGGCCAGCCTCCCTCATGCAGGACCGGGCAGCACTGCTCCCCTGCATCTTCCTCTCATTCTCCAGAGATCTGTCAAGGCAGAAGTTAGATTTGGAGGAAACTGCTTCCTGCAAACTTTCCCCTCAGTGCTTCCACATGCAGCAGCATTGTCCGCTGCCTCCTGCTTTGCTGGGAGGGGGCACCGGACAGGGAAATGTCAATGATGTCTGGGATTGGGAGAAGAACGTCTCCTTTGGCATGCTGTGCGCGTGCACACACACACACACACACACACACACACACACACACACACACACACCATTCCAAACTTGGAGATGTTTATCCACATCTGAACTTGAAACTACCAATCATTCATGAGTTTGGGGAGAAGGCCCTCTCTCTTTCCTCTTTGGATAAAAGTCCCCAAATGTGGAATGCGGTATGTGTGTGTATATGTATGTGTGTGTGTGCGTGCATGCATGCGCTTGGCTGCCAGCAGTTTGGGGAGACAAGGAGCTTGAGGGGCACCAAATTGTCCCCATGTCGAGTTAGCTGGTGCAACTTGTTCCGTCCCGACCCAGCCAGTGGTGGTATTCAGCTGGTTCTATCCAGTTCAGGCAAACTGGTAGCGGCGGATGCAGGAGGCTCTGCCCACCTGCCAGGATGTCCTCACGTCCCGTTTTTGATGCTCTGCGCATGCACGGAAGTGGCACGTGCACTCACATTTGAAAACCGGTAGCGAAGGTACTGTAAGTGAATACCACCGCTGGACCCAGCCGTTTCAAGTCAGCCGCACCCAGTGAGCGGCGTTGAGCTGGTCACATCCACCCAGCCACGCTCACCTGGACACTGTGAGTCATCATAGTCTCGCATGCAACTGGCCCTTTGAGGGCAACCATAGTGCTGATGCGGCCCTGAATGAAATTGAGTTTGACACCCCTGTCCTAGCCTGTCCCAACTCCTATTTTCAGCATTAAAAAAATGTAAAAGAAGCAACAGTCCAACAGCAGTCAAGGTTACTTGAAAGTAGTTCATCAGGCAAGTGCAAAGGATCTGACAAGCTACACCTGTGAGGAATCCAGGAACCTTTCCCTTCCATAAGGACGGTGAGTTTGCAGCAAAAATCTGAAATGTATCCTGCCTGGTTGGATTGAAGACCCTGCCAGGGAACATTTAAGCACCATAAATTATTATTATTATTATTTTTTAAATTTGATTTATATGCCGCCCTTCTCCAGAGACTCAGGGCGGCTTACAATGTGCTAGCAATAGCCTTCATCCTTTTTGTATATTTATACAAAGTCAGCTTATTGCCCCCACAACTGGGTCCTCAATTTACCTACCTTAGAAAGGATGGAAGGCTGAGTCAACCTTGAGCCTTGGCGAGATTCGAACCTGCAGTAATTGCAGGCAGCTGGTCTTAATAACCAGCTTAATAACAGGGTGCCTTAGACCACTGTACTACCAAGGCTCTTGGTATTCCTGGTGGAATGGATGGAACTGGTCACTCAGAGGAAATGTAGCTCTCTCCGCTCCCTTCCAGGGCTCTCTGTGTTGCTTCTATAAGGATAGAAACTGTTTGGAGTTAGTACATTTCCCCCAACCAAGGATAGCAGGAAGGTTTTTGTGAAGCTCCTGGAAATTTCCACATTGGCTCAAGGAGTAAGCCAGGCTATAATAGCTAAGGTATCACAATCTCTTTTCACACGTAGCTGCTGAGCCAAAAGATGAAGAAAAGAACATGTGGGGGAATTGGTCATTCCTCAGGAACCAGCCAAAAGAAGCCATTCCAAGAAGCATCACAGAGACATTGCAAGGGGAAGTTTCAGCATCTGAAAGAAACTTCTCATAAACCATAGCAGGTAGAACTGAAACACAGATGCAAAGACTGGCAGGCACAAGGTTACCGAGCAGCCTGTTCAGGAAGGCAATTGCCTCTAATAATAAAAGAAGTGCATCCCAAAGTGAACCTGAAACCAGGTCTAGTTGAGCAATCTTGAAGCCTGGGGTGAAGAATCTTCTCAGCTTCCATAGGGCACCTGGAGCAAAGCAAACAACAAAAACATATATAGAATCAGTGAAGATATTAAGAGTTTTGTTCCTAGCTACTGTATACAACAAACATGAATTAAGACTGTGAATTCAACTGCTTGGGCTCCCAAAGAAGATGGCAAGGGTTCTGCCCAGCAGATTAACATTTTTTTAAAAATGTAGCCCTGTTAAATTGACTCTGCCAACCACAAAGGAAGACCCATCCGAAAAGTTCAAAGTCAGGATTTTTTAGGGGCACAGTAAGATCTCAGCAAGGTTTCTCTACCAGGTTAATGGTTTGCGAACAATTATGTTGGCAACAGGGGTGGGTTCTAAAATTTTTTTACTACCGGTTCTGTGGGTGTGGCTTATTTTTATTTTTTTTTAATCTGTCAAAATATTTTATTGTGATTCAGGTATTTTGTAGGGCTCCAAGTAAATACAAATTAAAAATATTTACAAAATGAATGTATACAGCAATAGCCATTTATAAACAGTGTAAACACAATTTTTGCTAGAAACAATACATTTCAACTCCAAACTCATACAACAAGCTTAACATTGCACTTTTCAGATACCAGCAGATCTTTAGCGGAGTCAGTAGTCCCAGTTTGAAGAACCTAAAACTTTAAAAGCCATCTAACCCACTCCTGGGTTGCTTATCTGCTCCCCCAAGTCAGCTTAAGAAAAACATTTCGGTGGTTGAAAGAGAGAAAAGCATAATTGCTCATCCACCACCAGGAATATAATAGGAGTATATGATGATCTTTTGATCAAAGCCCACTCAGTTGTAGAGCGAGAATTGTATGGTGGTTTTGTGGCAAGAGAAACTTTAACTAAAAGCCATTCTCATTTACCAATGGGGAAAAAATGGTGACGTGTACCAGAGCTGGCCTTGGTTATTCTTTTTTTTTTTAATTTGATTTATATGCCGCCCTTCTCCGGAGACTCAGGGCGGCTTACAATGCGCTAAGCAATAAGCAATAGCCTTCATTCTTTTGTATATTTATACAAAATCAGCTTATTGCCCCCACAACTGGGTCCTCAATTTACCTACCTTAGAAAGGATGGAAGGCTGAGTCAACCTTGAGCCTTGGCGAGATTCAAACCTGCAGTAATTGCAGGCATCTGGTCTTAATAACCAGCTTAATAACAGGGTGCCTTAGACCACTGTGCTACCAAGGCTCTTGTTCCATTTGCCCACTGTCATGTTGTGTTTCTGATACAACTGATAAGTTGCTGAATTGGAGAGAGACTGCAGAAAGATTTTATTACTCCAGCCTGAAAATCGACTGGACATAGTTTTCCCATCATACTATTTTTGTGGTAGTTTGCGCAATTCTGCCATTAATCTTCAGAAACCATCTGTTGACACAGTGCTTATTGCACTGGTTTTGGGTTTTTTTTGTTTTTTGTAAACAAGTTATTCAAAATTGACTGCCTCAATGCAAAGGCTTACAGCACAAAGATTTTTTATATTAATAATTACTTTAGTCAGCTTTAGGAATTCCGGTATAAACAATTTGGAAATGAACTTTTTAAAATGTGTTTGTTTTACAAGGATAATCATTCTACTGCACTTTGTTAATGAGTTTCATTATCAAAATGAATAGTCACAACAACTGGACACTAAATAGTATATTTTGTACATATTGAACAGCAGTTTACTTCTCTAGTTGTTGTGGGGTACTGAAGGCTTCATATACATTAGCAGCAAAGTTTTTCACTTGTTCCATCATTAATAAGTCCTGAACAAAATGGGTAGGTGTTTCACTGCAGACTGAATGGATCTGTCCATTTATTATTGGGATTATCTTGGCTAGAGGAAGACTGGCACTGGAAAGACTGTTCACAGAGCCAGCATGGCATATGTCCAATTCAGTAGGTCTGAAGAATTCTGCCATGTTATCCAGTAATCGACTAAACCCTCTATTTAAGCAACTGCTCAAAACTCTATTAAAATCTGGACTTTCTATCGTATCTCTTGTTTCATTAAGTAACTTAATGGTAGCAACATCTTTTTCTGTCAGTTCATTAGCCTGGAAAGCTAAAGGATTCTCTTCATCCAGCATCATGTAATGACATAGCTTGGACTGTTTTTTTTCAAATGCAGTTTTTTCAAATGCAGAATCTTCAGGCTGCTCAATGACCTTTCTAATTTCTCTTAGCTTCTGTTCCAGTTCCAAGAGGGAAAGGGCATGCTTGAGAGAAACACTCTCAAATACATTCTGCACAGTCTTCTTAATCACGCTTATTAATTCAGTCAAGTCATCTCCTAGGACCATGATGGCGAACCTATGGCACGCGTGCCACAGGTGGCACGCGGAGCCATATCGGTGGGCACACAAATGTTGCCCTAGCTCAGCTCCAGCATGCATACACATGCCAGCCAGCTGATTTTCAGGCCTTCTGGGTGTGTGGGAAATAGGCTGTTTCCGGCCTCCGGGGACGTAGGGAAGACCGTTTTCATCCTCCCCAGGCTCCAAGAAAGCCTCTGGAGCCTGGGGAGGGTGAAAAAAGAGGCCTACCAAGCTCACTGGACCATTACATGCCAAAAGTGGGGGGAGCGCGGAGGGGTCACGTCCGTGGGTGCGGGGCACATTGAATTATGAGTGTGGGCACGTGTCCACACGACCCCTCTGTGCTCCCCCCGCTTTTGGCACGTGACGGTAAAAAGGTTAGCCATCACTGTCCTAGGAGATGTTGATAAATATTGCTGTTGAACTTCTGGGGGAACTAAAAGTGTAGTGCCATTTTTGCAAACTGCTGCATTGTCTAAGTAAATGTATCCACCAATAATATTTAATTGGACTCGGAGAAGAATTACAAGCATGCATGTGCTGTATACTGCAACAATACTCCTTGTAAAACTTATAACCTTCAGTTCTTCCCATATTTCTAACTTATTGGCTGGCTTGTTTTTCAGCAGGGAAGCGAGACTCTCAGAATTCAGCTGATACATCAAAGTGTCTGTTAAAGTTGGAAGCATTGATAGTACTGTCATATTGCAAGTCCTCTGATACTGCCTTCTTGCTTGTGTTATATATTCTGCTGCTTCTCTTTCTTGAATTTCTTTCATTTTTTTCTGGCCATATTTTCCAAGTACATAAACCCCACCCAGAAAAGCACCCAAGTAGACGCATTTCTTTTTGTGACGCTTCAGGAAGCCCCACATAGCCAGCAGCATCGCGGTGGCGGCAGATGAGGATTCTCAGTCGAGCCGCCGCTCCGCCTGGGTGTGGCTTATTTTGTGGGCGTGGTTTTATGGTCATGTGACAATTCTTTAGGATTTAACAGAGGTACTGGTCTACCAGGCTTTTAACTGCTTGCAGAGCTGTACCGGTCTACCCATTTGTTCTTGGAGCGTCCTGGTCTACCCATTTGTTTTTAGAGGCACCAGTCTACCCATTTGTTTTTCGAGCGCACTGGTCTACCACCACACTGCCTTTTAACACTGATCAGCTGTAGGGCAGCCCTTTGAAGCCCTGCGGCAAGAGTTTAAACAGTTTTTTTCCTTCTAGCCGATCAGCTGGGACTCAGGAGGCAGCGAATAGATTGGAGGTAGGGCCAAATAAAAGATATGAATAACGTGGGGTGGGGGGAGAAGGCCCAGCTCCCGAACAAAGAGAACAGGTTCGGTGACATCATATCGTTACCTCTACCGGCTCGGCAGAACCGGGCCGAACCGGGAGGAACCCACCACTGGTTGGCATCTTCCTTCATCTATAGTCTCAGGAAACAGAGTTAAAGGATTCAAAATTGTAAATCACTTCAAAAACACATTTGGAGTAGCTAGAAGCTCTGCTTCAAAAGCAGCTGAACATTGATGTGTAAAGGCTTGACATTCAAGGAGAGGAACACAACATGCTCATGAGAAACAACAACAAAGAAATGGCAAACCCATAACCAAGTCTTTTCTGTTTTGAACAGGAAAGGCAATGATTGCTCTGGTTAAGATCTGATCATGGTCAATCTGATCAAAATCTGATCAGAGACCATTCAAACAAAGTTACAATAGTCTCAGGAAGTCACTCTTGGCCATTATAAATCACAGCCACACACAATAGTGACACCAGCTTGCATTTCCATCTGGTTGCCAAATGCCTTGTGATCAGGTGATTTCCATTGTAATCTTCTCTGCTGGCTTCCCCAGAAAGTCAAAGAGAAGCCAGCAGGGAAGGTTGCAAGTGGAGAGGATGGAGGGGAGGGGAAACCTTTCATGGGATTGTGAGAACAGGGCTCCTAAAGAGACTCCAGGTGTGGTTTTGTCTTCTTGGAGATTATTTCGGCTGCCCAGCAACTGAGTTTTGCTTGGGCGTGTCTTGTTTGAGCAAAGGCTAAGAAGCAGGATTTGCTCTTCTGAGATGAAACACAATAAAAAGGGAATTATGTAAATCTGGGATTTAATGGATTATTGTCGTCTTCTATAAATCTGCTAGGAATTATGTCATCCAAGTAGTTTTTAATTATTGTCAGGCTTAATTATTCCAATTGCTTCAGAGGATTCACAATGTACCTTTTACTTTCAAAGGAAGAAAGTTGAAGAGATTATCTCCCATTGGGTCAATGTACCTGCCAATTGAATCATTATTAATTTATTTATGGAACAAATACCATCAGTGGTTTCCGACGTCCCGATATAGCCAGTTGACGCCATCACTGACTATTGGGGGTGAATCATTGGCCCCCACGGAGAGGGCTCGCAACTTGGGCGTCCTCCTGGATTCACGGCTGTCTTTAGAAGAGCACTTGACGGCCGTGACCGGGAGGATTTTTCATCAGGTCCACCTGATTCACCAGTTGCATCCCTTTCTGGATCGGGACTCGTTACGCACGGTCACTCATGCCCTCGTCACCTCCCGCCTGGACTATTGTAATGCTCTCTACATGGGGCTCCCCTTGAGGAGCACCCGGAGGCTCCAACTGGCGCAGAGTGCGGCCCCGCGGGTGGTAATGGGAGTGACATGGCGCTCCCATGTAACACCTCTCCTGCGCGAGCTGCACTGGCTCCCGGTGGTCTTCCGGGTGCGCTTCAAGGTTTTGGTTACCACCTTTAAAGCGCTCCATGGCTTAGGGCCTGGTTATTTACGGGACCGCCTACTACCACCAATAGCCTCCCACCGGCCAGTATGCTCTCATAGAGAGGGACTCCTCCGGGTGCCATCGGCCAAACAGTGTCGACTGGCGGCCCCTAGGGGGAGAGCCTTTTCTGTGGGGGCACCTACCATCTGGAATGAGCTCCCCCCGGAGATACGGAGGATCCCGGATCTGCGCTCCTTCCGCCGTGCTTTGAAGACCTTTTTATTCCATCAAGCGGGCTTGGCCTGATCTCTTCCCTTTTTAAATACGTAAATTTTAATCTGTTTTTAAATTATTGCGGTATTTTAATTTGTCTGGGCCAAATAATTTAATTTGATTTTATCGGGTTTTTAAATTTTGTGTATTTATGTATTTTATTGTTGGCTGTTCACCGCCCTGAGTCCTTCGGGAGTAGGGCGGTATACAAATCAAATAAACTAAACTAAACTAAACTAAACTAAACTAAACTAAACTAAACTAAACTAAACTAAACTAAACTAAACTAAACTAAACTAAACTAAACTAAACTAAACTTGATCCACTCCATTTCCATTGGGAGTTATCCCACTGACGAAGTCATGTTTTTAGGGTCATTTGGAAAAGCAGCGGAGGGGAACAAGCATACCTCAGTATGAAATGATGTTCCATGAAGAAGGGGCTGCTGCCAAGAAGGGCCTTTTAGGTGATCCCACCATATGACAATCCCTAATCCCTGGGACCCATAACATGCCCTGCCTTCCTGCCATGGTGGGCTGGGTCAATGTAACAGGGGAGAGATAGTCCTTCAGATAACCTCGCCCCAAACCATGTAAAGCTTTAAAGGTGATAATTCAATGGCAAAGAATTTATACTATTTATTCCCCCAATAATTTCCCAAAATAAAAACTTGTAAAACTGGGGAGAGGGAAATTTATTATGAGTGCTTGAACTGCTTCCACAGCCAAAAGCTGTTTTGAAATTTTTCAGATAGACCATGGCAGTCCATGGAGGATTTAGCAAACATAGTCTTAAATATATTTTCTTTTCTCTTTTATTCACCATCTGCCATGCTGAGAAAAATGAAATCCAATAAACTTCTATAATCTACATAAAAGTAACTAAAAAACATGAAGCTACTACACCCCTTCTTTTTTGCTGAATTACTTACTTTTTTTGTTATGTATGGATTGGCTAGAATCTACATAACGTTTCATGCTCGCCACGGATTGGCTAGACTCTACATAAGGCTGGATAGCTCAACAGACAGAAGCACTGTAATTTAACACCAGTTGTCTGTAATTAAAGAAAGATCTAATCTCGCCAGGCTCAAGGTTGACTCAGCCTTCCATCCTTTCTAAGGTAAATTGAGGACCCAGTTTGTGGGGGCAATAAGCTGACTTTGTATAAATATACAAAAGTATGAAGGCTATTGCTTAACGCACTGTAAGCCGCCCTGAGTCTCCGGAGAAGGGTGCATATAAATCAAAATTAAAAAAAAAAAAAAAGGTTTCATGCTTGTCACGGATTGGCTAGAATCTACATAAGGTTTCATGCTCACCATTGATTGGCTGTCCGGACCGTGGGAGATTTAACCTGCTGTCATTGGCCGGCTGGTCTGCCTGGAGCTCCTTAAAAGGCAAGCTCCAAGAGCCCAGCCGGCAGAGCGCAGTCACATTTTGCTTAAATAAAAAGGTGCTGAATTCACTAACGACTCTCGCCTGCTGCCTTGCACCGATCTAACATTTATTATCATCGATGAGAATTTTCCTAGCTCTTCCCTTCAAAACGCATTCAGCTTTCCAGCTCATTTAGGACTTTCTTTTCATCCCCTCAGTACAAATAGTCCTCAATTTATGACCACAATTAAAACCAAAATTTCTTAATCTCCTAAGGCAATTTAGAGGTTACTCAGAAGGACCCAAAACATGTTAATGGCAATCCATGTTCAGTGTCTATAGAATGCTAGTGAAGTGTGGTTGGGGGTGGGGGTGGGGGTGGAAATGGGGAAGATATGATTCTCTTACAGAATGTCCTTGGATCAATTTTTTTTGCAGATGTAGTGATGTTCAGTGCTGCATCTCACTGAGCTGGCAGTGGAATCATCATTCAAATACGCGCAGTCTCCTCCATTTCCTACAACTTCCAACCTGCAACAGAAACAGAAATTAGGCAGTGGGGAGTATCTCCCACCTAGCAGCACCAAGTTAGCCCTGAGTTTACAATTCATCTAACTGAGCCTTCCCTTCTCAAAGATGATTCTCCAGATTGTTCAGTACATCTGTGTGCCAGGAGCTCAGCATTCTGGACTCAATTCCAAGGAGAATTCTGACCATGCTACTTGTACAGGAAGTTCGTGATTTACAACCACAATAAGGACTAGAATTTCCATTACTAAGCAAAGCAATTGTAAACTGGGTTTTGCCCAATTTTATAACCTTTTCTTTTGCCATGGTTGCTCAGCAAATCGCTGCAGTTGTTAAATGAATCAAATGATTTTAAGTGGATTCAGCTTTCCTTGTCGACTTTGCTTCTTGACAAGGTTGCAAGTAGCAGTCACATGAACCCAGGATGCTGCAACCAGTGTTAACTGTTTTGCCAGAAGACTTGTGGACCCCAGGGTGATATGGAGCCCATCAACTGGTTGGTTTAATTGTGGTCACTAGGAGGATGGGAGTTTATTGGGTTTTGTATTGTTCTTTTATTACTGTAAGCTGCCCAGAATCACCATGAGTTTGGTAGCAATACAAATTTTCCAAATAAATAAATACATGCAAGTTGCTAAGGATCCAAATATTGATCATGTAATTATGGGGATGCCATAATGGTTGTACTGGGAGGAGCAATCATAAGTCATTTTTTCAGCGTTTTAAAATTTTTAATCATTGGTAAATGAATGGCTGTATGTCGCGAACTACCAGTAACGCCTTTAGAGTTACATTAGTAGGGCCAAATCTTTTTAGAGGGCAACACCTGAATTCTGGCAGCCGGGAAGCTCTTTCTAGGATCAATCCTGAGCTGCATGGAGCCTCAGTGGAGGCATTTAACTTTCACCTCTTGCCAACTGAAAGGAAAAGGGGAAGACTCACGTTGAATTTTCTCCATCTAGCCACTTCCAGGACTGATTCGATTCTCTCTTGAGGCCAATCCAAAAGACGTGGTTTCTT